GCTGTAGTATATAACAAACCCTCTATGTTATACACTGTCATCTGCCATTAAGATATAGCATGTAGTTTGTTATACTATCTGCTTGATTGTTACGAATTGTACATAGTTGTGCAGTAAATGTGAAAATCGTTGTTTTATTTATATAACCGCATATTTGGGTGATTTAGTTCTGAATCAAGCTATTATGGGGACGTGCAATTGGATGAAAGTGTATATTCGTTTAAAACTGCCTTAAAACACGGAACTTGTGAGTGTGAAAATATGAAGCACTGAACAGCTGTTATTTATCTATTGGTTTATGTTATTGAGGGAGAAGGTGGGGAAGCGGGGCTTTGATTCGCTTTTTTCAAGAACATAACAAATTTATAAAATGACGATAAGTTTAAAAATGTAATAAAAACAGAACACAATAGTCTAAATTGCATGACATAAAAATATATTTATGCTGCAAGTTTTTGGCAAAAAACCTTTGGCTGTGATCACCACGTTTATTTACATTATTGGCATCATAATTTGATGACGTCATACTAAATGGAAAATCGGTAAATTCATAAACTACTCTAAAACATATTTTACACCTTCTATTGACATTACCAACCTGATTAAAAAAATTCCGAACCATGTTTGTGCAGAAACTACTTCTCATCGACACTTCATTTAATATATTGTCCATACTCAAGAAACACAATTTTACGACAAAATCACGTCATTTTTATCAGTTAACCAATTTGCGAACATCTGAATTCAATCCTAAAGAGTCCAAACGAAGTCGACGAAAATAAGACCCCCATGAAAAAAATTAATAATGTTACAGTATATACTGTATAGCAGGGTGACGTAATCATTTAAGGAATATATATACTATGAAACTAAAATATGACGTATGAACACATAGTTAACAATTTCTCAGACACCAATGCAGAACAATATTTTTGCAACACGAATTTGGTATGTTGGTAATTTTCTAATATCAGTAACACCTTCCATAATTTATAGATTAGAGAATTGACCGTTATCTGAATGTGGCCAATTTGTCCGGGACTGTGGTGGTAAAGTACACTACAGAATTACTATACAAATAATGGACAAACCGGTACTTTAGGAATCTGACCGTCCTCAAATGACCCTATTTTTCGTGAGAAAATAATGTGTCTATAAAGTCAATTATTTAATCCTTTAAATGATAGTCAAAGTGTATTTATTACTGATATAAATGTAATTCGGCTTACAGATGATCATCTATATATTTCCAGACTGCATTCATATCAACAATGGACAACATTCAATAGTTACGTGTCAAACGATCATACAAGAGAATGGCACATTTTAATAAGAATTTATAATTAGACTGTGACTTTCTCGATTGAAAGTATCATGAACATAAAACACCAATATATTTTGGTTTACTGATTATTGCTATAATAAATGAAGAAATTTTAGCACATTAAATCGAACGATCGATCACGCAATTATTGTGACCTTGACTTTTTGTGCTTATGTATATGTTGTGACGTCATGATACCGGTTGGTGTTACACATAAAAGAATAAAGAAATTTTAATTCATGCCAATTTATTTTGTGTAAAATCATCTTTTGGTTTAGTAAAATTTAATGTTAAGTAAAACAGTTCAGGAAAGCGAAAACGCTGCCATATTTGTTTTATCAACCAAAGCCTTATTTAATGCGGTCATCTTAGACCGTACCTATCCCACTTCCGGAAGAATTTTCCCATGTAGCATTATTAACTGTTGTATAGATGAAATGTCTCATAGAAGTCAGCTGTGTAGAGCTTATAGTGCTGTAATCGATATACAGTCTGTAATGAGGAGTCGTGGATGCATCTAACTCGAAGTTTCTTCATTTTTGACAATAATTTGTTTTTAATTTCTGATATTATGGCACATGCTTATGTTATTTATACAAGTAATAAATAAATCGGACTATTAAATTGGTATTTTTATCAACTTTCGAAATATCTTACTAAAATGACTATAAAGCAGTATGTAATAGCAGCCTGTTATGATGTGATTGTCCTCGACATTTTCATTCTCTAATGTAAAGCATACTGCTATGTTCCAGAACCCATACCCAACATAAAGATTCAATGGAAGAAAGGGTAAAACACTAAAATAATGATCAGAAGTAATATGTCTTCAGTAAATGGAATTAAATATTACTGTTTTATAGGTTGACAATTAAGTGTAAGGGCCAATTATAGATTTACTTTCTCAAAACAATATGATCAATCGTCACCCCGCCCTGATCGGACTTATTAACCTGTTTCAGTTACAATACTGTCATTTACAAATTTAAAACTTTGTAATTTGAATTATTTCCCTTATTGAATGATGAATTTATATCAAATAAACTCTGAAGAGGGCAGCGAATAATCTCCCCTTAAGTAGTCTGACCGAGTCACATCTTCGTCGATAGTGGAGGAGAGATGTGTTTGGTTTCACAGGAGTAAAAGTTGACCATCAAGATAAACACTGGACACGTTATTCACACGCATTGTTAGCTTCAAAATCTAACCTGATATAATTATATAATCGTTGAATATACATCAAACCTTTTCAGAATTTCATAAGAAATTCATTAAGAAATAAAAAGAAACTGCAAAAAATTGGTTGCTATTGGTTACGAAAACATTGGTTAAAATGCACAGAAAATGTAAAGAGTATCAATATATTGGTGAAAACAGACCAAGTGTTGTCTTTAGGTCAACAGGTATTTTAACATATTTCTGTTGTCGTGACATTATTTGACGTAGACATGTATTGTATATTGCTGATATATAGGGTCACTTCAGTCTACTTTCGTTTGTAATCTGGGTGTGGAAAGGGGGCGTGGTTTTAAGGTACAAACATGTCAATGGCATCTACATATCTTTATTGCCTGAGTGTATGTCTTATTAAGGTAACCATACTATGCATATTATCTGACACACATGCAAAAACATTATTTTCGGACATGTATCCCCAGCCGGTTGTCCTAATGAACAATGGTTATGGTAATATCGCTGATCACTCAAACTTGACATCCTACAGAATCATTTCAAGAATTGTACAGAATCAGATATAGCAGAGACAAATAATGAATGAAACAGTAAGATTTTGTCCTTCTTGAAATCTGAGAATCAACTGAAGAGAAATTAAGACTCGAAATCGATGTCAACAACAAGATGGAGAAGTGTTATTTTCAATGATTGATTATACCATAATGTGGCCCGTGCCAATGTTCGAATCAAATGATCATTGGCTTTTAGGTTACTGGAAAGGTAACTATAGTATTTAGAAATGAATGCACAATTTTCCTTATAAATATAACCAGACGTCCGACCACATTTTACAAGTTAAACAAATGTATTATGTGATTAGATCTATTACATCCTAGGATCTTATTATGCTGACAACGATATAACTAGTTCTTGTATGTGTTGAATCAAGTGTTGAGAACGAAAAGAGAGGTGGTAATATTTAATTCACCCCGATGGAAAATATTCCTCACTTGGACTGGCGCTAAGCTCAAAGCTTAAAGTAAGATTTTACAAAATTCAGATAACTATTGTAGATTAAGCCTGGCCAAGTTTTTTTTTATACTTGTGTGAAATGAACATAACAAATAATAAATAAAACCAATGTTATGTAAAATATTCATACATTTGATATCCTTCAGAAAGGTGTTTCAGACAACGTCACCACCATGATGTGGAAGTGGATACTAGTATTCGTTGTTATGGTAACGAAAAGTGCACCAAGTGATGCCATGTCTCTTTCACTGTACCAACAGCAAGGTAAGCATGGGGCTACAAAACTACTTCCTCTTGAAATTTTCGTCCTACTTTCTTCTTCTTTTTTCACTCCAGTTGTATGATTATATTTATTTTTTGTTTCGATCTTTCGTGTATATTTACTTGTATTTCTTTGGCATGTGTTCAAAATTAGTGTTTATTTATTTATACCAAAATTAATGTCTATATCATGATATCAACACATACTGACTATATCATACATAGATTTCATATTCATATGTATTTCGATATTATAGGTTAATCTTAATAACTTGCGGTATGCTTAGGATAAGGATCTCTTCTTTCAGAATATGATAAATGTTACCACATTTGTCCAACTACAACGACTACAACTACTACAACGACTACTACAACTCCAACAACTACTACAACTACCACTCCGACAACAACTACCACTCCAACAACAACTTCAACAACCACTCCGACAACAACTACAACTCCGACAACTACTACAACTCCGACAACAACTACAACTCCGACAACTACTACAACTCCAACAACAACTACAACTCCGACCACAACTACAACTCCGACAACAACGACCACTCCGACAACAACGACCACTCCGACAACTACTACAACTCCGACAACAACTACAACTCCGACAACAACTACAACTCCAACAACAACAACTACAACTCCGACCACAACTACAACTCCGACAACAACTACAACTCCGACAACTACTACAACTCCAACAACAACTACAACTCCGACCACAACTACAACTCCGACAACAACGACCACTCCGACAACTACTACAACTCCAACAACAACTACAACTACAACTCCGACCACAACTACAACTCCGACAACAACTACAACTCCGACCACAACTACAACAACATCCACTACCACACCAACTACGACTACTTTAACCAGTACTACAACACAAACCACGTCAAACCCGACAACCACAACAACACCAACAACAACGACAACAAAAGGACCGACCACACCAACAACTACAACACAGACAACCACCACTAAGTCTACAACCACCACACCAATCACCACGACACTTAACTGTGTATTAGAATGTCTTTCAACATCATCTGGAAATACCATAACACCTACATCAAACTCGCAGAAGTCAACGATTTCTAACACTTTTCAAACAGATGACACTATATCAAAAAAACCTGATTTCAGCTCAACAACTTCAAACACCCTTTCCACAACAAAGGTTATGTCAAGTAGTCCCTTGCAAAATATTACTGTAAATCCCATACAATATACCAAACCTACACTGCTTACTCCTACCAACATAAATTGCGTAAAGGTCTGCCGGTCTTCAACAACGTCAACCACAACAACACCTAAAACTACCACAACTCCAACATCAACAACGACACCAACAACTACAACCGCCACAACTCCCACTACTACAACGACACCAACAACCACAACCACCACAACTCCCACAACTACAACGACATCCACAACCACAATCACCACTCCCACTACTACAACGACACCAACAACCACAACCACCACAACTCCCACTACTACAACGACACCGACAACCACAACCACCACTCCCACTACTACAACGACACCAACAACCACAACCACCACAACTCCCACTACTACAACGACACCCACAACTACATCTACAACTACACCGACCACCACTACGACACCCACAACTACAACAACTCCGACAACTACCACAACTCCCACTACTACAACGACACCAACCACCACAACCACCACAACTCCCACTACTACAACGACACCCACAACTACATCTACAACTACACCGACCACCACTACGACACCCACAACTACAACAACTCCGACAACTACCACAACTCCCACTACTACAACGACACCAACAACCACAACCACCACAACTCCCACTACTACAACTACACCGACAACCACTACGACACCCGCAACTACAACTACCACGACATCCACAACCACCACAACTCCCACTTCTACAACGACACCAACAACCACAACCACCACAACTCCCACTACTACAACGACACCAACAACCACAACCACAACTACACCGACAACCACTACGACACTCACAACTACATCTACCACGACATCCACAACTACAACAACTCCGACAACTACCACAACTCCCACTACTACAACGACACCCGCAACTACAACTACCACGACACCCACAACTACAACTACCACGACACCCACAACTACAACTACCACGACATCCACAACTACAACAACTCCGACAACCACCACAACTCCCACTACTACAACGACACCAACGACCACAACCACAACTACACCGACCACCACCACCACGACACCCACAACTACAACAACTCCGACAACTACCACAACTCCCACTACTACATCGACACCAACAACCACAACCACCACAACTCCCACAACTACAACGACACCAACAACCACAACTACAACTACACCGACAACCACCACGACTCCGACAACAACTACAACTCCGACAACTACAACCACCACAACCTCGACAACAACGACATCTCCGACAACAACGACGCCGACAACTACATCAACTAATTCCACTCCTACGAGTACCATATCTTGTGTAAAAGTGTGTCGATCGACATTGTCATCAAAGTTCACTAGCGCTTTCACCAATAATCCATTCTTTACCACCGAAAAGCCTACATCTGCAAATGCTTCGAAATTCGCCACGATGTCAACAAGTGAAAACGTTATCACAACAGATATCAACACTAACGTTATCACAACAGATATCAAAACAACACCAAATACGTTAACATCCACACGCAGTACATCTACTTCTAATAAGTTTACAACAGAATGTGTAAAAGTATGTAGACCTACTTCTGCAACTACAATAACACCAACAACCACAACGACAACCACAACAACAACATCAACAACACCAACAACTACAACATCAACAACACCAACAACTACAACACCAACAACTACAACAACTACAACACCAACAACTACAACAACACCGACAACTACAACACCAACAACTACAACACCAACAACTACAACAACACCAACAACTACAACACCGACAACTACAACAACACCAACAACTACAACACCGACAACTACAACAACACCAACAACTACAACAACACCAACAACTACAACACCAACAACTACAACAACACCAACAACTACAACACCGACAACTACAACAACACCAACAACTACAACACCGACAACTACAACAACACCGACAACTACAACTACTACAACACCAACAACTACAACTACAACAACACCTACAACTACAACAACAACTACAACTACAACAACAACTACAACTACAACAACACCAACAACTACAACAACACCAACAACTACAACTACAACAACACCAACCACTACAACTACCCCTACGACAACCACACCAACCACAACTACGATAGACTGCGTTAAGGTGTGCAGATCCTGGGGAAGGACTCCACTATTTCCTACAACTCCGGACAAAAAGCCTGTAGCCACCGCTCCTTCTCCATACAGTAACACAGCTCCACTATGGGGTACGTCATCAAACTGAATAACTTCAGAAAAGTCTATATCTTTTAAAATCAATTAAGTTATAAGAGAGGAAGGTCTTTGGTTGTATTTGTTACATATTATAATTAACGGAAGTGTTCCGTGTCATCTTTAGATACTGTTTTCATCCTTATTCATGTCTTTATCACGAAGTGGAATCGTTCATAAAACATTATTGTACTTTATTGCTTTTTATTTTATAACTTGTCAAATGCACTGAATCTGAATTTGTTTTAGAAAGTTTGCTGGTTTATTTTACAGAATCCGCCATACTTATTTTACCTTTTACCATATCGTTTGACATAACTTGGAACGATAATTACCTAAAAGAGACCTCCAATGACTACAAAGATCTTTCCAGGAAGGTGATAAATAGGGTAAGAAACAAATATTTCGTTAATAATCTTCATTCTCTATGAATAAGTTCATTGGAAAGAAAATATTTGGGTAGCAGATAATTCATAGATTGGTCCTTACACTTTTAATTGCATTTTCCTCATGAAGACATACTGATACAACAAACTACATGTGTGATTTGGTATTCAGTCAATGAAATACCGTTGCACTGAACAAAAAAAATCATACCGTCTTTGATTAATTAAATATTCATATTTGTTTTGATACGGACTATGTAAATAAGGAATTTGTCTTGAGTTTTGAATCCAGAAAAATATTAACGTTAAAGTATTATACAATTATGGACTTCAGGTGAGGTCTATCCCTGATTTAATAACCTGGTCTGAACAATATTCACCGTTCATTCGTAACAAATTTATAGACTCGTTGCATGACGCCGCCCCTCCCATCAGGGCTGGAAATCTTAAACTTATTCTCTTTAATTAATCAACGAAGCAGACATCGTGTGTGTGTGATTGGTATTATTGATATACAGTGTAATCAGTATGTATACTCCAAACTAACATATTATTAATCGTGCTGTCATGTCTTTGATCTTTTCAGTTGGAATACATATATAAAGATGTTCCTGGTTTCCGAAAAATTACCATTGTTCACTACAGGTAGATATGAAGATCTTTACACCTTTGTGATAACATATTTCTCAATATTACCTAATAGAGTTCTGTTATTGTGCCACAAACAACAGACACAGTATACGTTTACATCATACATAACAGTTTTGTTGGAACATCACTATTTTTCGCCCATTTTGCCCTTCATTCAACTATGCGAAAATAAAATGATGGCTCAATTTCAACATTAAATCATTAGGCCTGAAGGTTGAACTTAAATCTAAGGCGAAAACAGTAGCCATGTTTTGTGAAGTACGGTCGTTATGATTGGATATTGTCTGTGCTTTTCATATCAATACCATCTTTCTATGCTACGAGAAGTTAAATGTATGCTTTCATTTTTTACAACACATAATGAACCTAGATCATGTTTTTTTATTCTCAAGATATCCCTTATTATTTTACACATGTTAACAGACACGGCAGTGTAGTATGTACATACGCTGTTAATTTGGACGTGACGTCACAGCGGGATAAAACATGGGACCAAACTTCAGCCAAAATACAGCAAGTACAAAAACAGATGGATTCCAGTCCGAGTTTTAGTGGTATAGGTGCCCTCAGTCAAGGATACATCAAGATAAACCGCCACACTGAATATGCACAAGGTATTCATGTAACAATGTACCACTTGTACCATAACCGACAATACAAGATTATACCACAATTATCATTGTATATCATCCTACCAAGAGATTACAAAGACACACAAGAGAAAAACACATTTCAGGATTAGTTGAAGATTTTAGTCAGAGTAGAGACAGATTATAAATTCATCATGCAGCGTTTTCGTCCTAGAGTTCATCCGTGATGCTAAGGGCATGAACAATTGAAAGAAAAAGTAAGAAATTAGGGTAATATATGAATCAAAGAACAGTTTACATGGAAACTCCCGAAAAAGAACATAGAGAATAAGACCAGGTGTTCTATAAGGTTGAGCTTCCTAAACACGAAGACGAATAAGGAAAATAGAAATTGTTCGAAATAAATGTAAACACTATGATTGGGATTTACATTCAATAAATTTCATACTTATCGAAACTGGATGACATAAAAGTTCATCCAAATGTGTAAGTGTATTTTCTGAATCATAACACTATTCAGATAAATTAGGCATTCGACGAATCGCGGGGACTAAAATCCACAAGCAACCTCAAAGAATGTACAGTAGAAACACAAGAAACACCTTTTGATATAAGTTAACGTTCATATGTTTATTTAGGAGGTGTGTCATGGAAATGCATGGAATGATTTACATGTCAGTGACAATGCTATTTTGGTCGTAAAAATTGTCCTGCGAGGAACGTTTATTCATTGCATCGACAACCGAAATACCTATACTGTCACATACATCTCTTCTAAAGAGATTCAAATTGATGTTGTTACAATGGAAACTGAGTGGCAAAAAGTATGATAAGGATATTTTTTTTCAATCTACAGCTATGTTGAGTCTCAAGTCACCGTGTAAGGCTGAGGGAATATGTGCTGTAGGATACGACTGCCATCACTCCGGGGGAGTAACATCGTGTGTGCACAAATGTAAAACAAATAATCCTTGTAGGAATGGAGCACAGTGTTATGTAAATGAACAGAATAATATCGGATGCAGGTTTGTATCATTTTACAATCAAAAGTTTTAATTGTATGGCATCCGAAAGATGTACAAAAACATAATTCAACAATGATGTAAAATTATGCAATTATATACTTATTACACTTTCCGATAGATATACAAAAACACGATTTAAATTTGTACAATTATATGATTATACAAATATACATTAATTACACTATTCTATAGACGTAGAAAAAATACAATTCACGATTGTACAATTATATAAATATATTTCATAACATAGATCGATAGATATAGAAAAACACAGCTAAACATTGTAAAATTATGTAAATATATTATTAATTACACTATTCGATAGATGTCAAAAAAAAAAACACACACACCATTCAAGATTGTTTATTTATATAATTTCTTACACAGTCCGATAGATAAACAAAAAACCAATTCAAGATTGTTTATTTATATAATTTTTTACACAGTCCGATAGATAAACAAAAAACCAATTCAAGAGTGTTTATTTATATAATTTCTTACACAGTCCGATAGATAAACAAAAAACCAATTCAAGGTTGTACGATTATATATTGTTTACTTTCTTGTACAACTAGATATATGTACAAAAACTAATTTCAAAATTGTACAACTATCTAAATATATGTACATAACTCTGCCCTACAGATATACAAAAACAATTAAAGATTGTACAATTATATAATTATGTAAATATGTATTAATTACACTATCACTAGACACTAGATTTAAAAAGTACATATCAAGAGTGTACAATTGTATAAATATTTATTTATTACACCATGCGGTAGACATGTATATACAAACACACATTTCATGTTGTACAATCATATAGATATATATATCTATAACGCTATCCTATAGATATACAAACACACATTTCATGTTGTACATTAATATAGATATATGTAAACATTACTACTGTTATTTATAATCTTTGATTCTTTCGGTATTAGTGTATGTAATTGACACGATTAAAGAATATATCAATTATGTTTGAAAAACACATGATGAGTGCATTTATAACTACTTAATGAAATTCGACTAAAATTACAGATGTAGAAGGAAAACAATTGGAACTTGAAAAGTACATCGACTCAAACGGAATTTCGACTCAAGCGATTTCGAGACAACGAGTTTCAACTGTAATTGGAAACTTAAACTCACTAATACTGAAAAGCGTTTTCAATCATCAAATCTTGTCTTCGACAGGTGTAAAACGAGCGACGATTTTGTATATTATGGAGAACATTGCGAGAATTCAGATGAACGACTGACGATGGAGTCCAGGTATATCATCCTCTTAGCGTGTGCTGGTGGAGCAGTCCTGCTTATAATTCTCATCTGTGTGTGTTGCCTCTGCGTCAAGAGAAAACCCTTAGAAAAAGGCGAATACCAGTTTCAGTGAGTAATATCTTTTCTGAACGTTTTGGTTTTGTATTATATTGTGATATTTTGATAATGTCCTTCACATCACCATAGCTTTGTATAGAAATCGTACTGTTGATTATATATGTAAATTTATTTCACATAAATGTTACTATGGTTACAGAATGTTAACACTGTTATATACTATTCGTTTGGTTTGATGTAGACGTACTGTTAAGCATATATACTAAAATTTGAACATATCCAAACACATCTTTTCCTGATAATGTTATATATCAACTCTTACTCACAATTTCAACTTGGCTTAAGGAGACGGTCACTGTCCATCTCAGTCACTGTAGTGTTTGACTACGTGGAGAGGCTACATGGACTCCAGTTTACGATTATTTTGTCCTGTTGACACTTGTCGATTTTAACAAAACGACTCCTTTCAGAGAACTCCGGGATTCGTACATCTATCCTCCTATAACGAACTTAGAAACAGATAATAGTTTTTCTGGTGCTGACAACAGGGCCTATCAGACATCATTTGTGAGGGAAGAAGTGCCAGGCCCATCCCATCGACTTTCTGCCAGTGAAGCTAGGGTAACAAATGAACAATATACCAGATTCTGATTAGATGTACGAAATCAATGTATTAGTTCTGTCAAATCGAAGCTTCCTGTTTCTTATTGTGGGGGTATTATTTGTAGATATCAGAATGATACAAAGGAAGACATGTTCCGTGAGCCGTCAATACGTCATTAAATCATTTACATAAATATGTGTATTGTATAAATATTCCTTCTTCCATCTATATAATTTCACTTTATTAGTCATTAAGTTAACGAAATATGTTTCGTTCAGAGCGAGTGTCCTTAAAAATACGAAGAAAGGGGAATTCATAGAATCATAGCCTTTGGAGAGATTGATTCATACCGATGTTATTATAGAGGCATGTCAAGCGTCAGATTGATAAAGATGTAATCTTGATTGTGAAGCTAGAAATGTGATATAAATGTTATAAATTGATCTCCGATTTCTACTTTTGTATGGTTGATATCATTTCCTTTCTTATTTCAGATATAAACAAAATTTTTGGATTGAGTTGACAAGAGGTATTCACGTTGTTATTTACAGGTGACAGATCAACTGTCAATATTTATTCACAATATTTATAAAATTATTACAAATGTCACAGTGTAGGACTACTAAGCATGTAGCAAAATATTAGAAAATATTATGGTTTCAATCGGAATTAAAACCAAAATATTGGAACAATTCTTCGCACTGGAGAACATTTTTCGATGTTAATTATGGATCAGAGGCTATGTCGCCGGTATTTGTAATAAACGTTATTGGATTAGTGTTTCTCCATTTGGATGTGTAAATTTATTTAGACCAATTTGGAGTTTCCTCCGCCATCTTATAGCATAAGACGCTTACTCTTCCAGAACACCGGGTCCTATTCTCCTTGTAATTTGCAGGAGTTGCCATGCAAATCGTTCTTAAACCATATTTTAATTTCGCTGAATTTAGCTTCAGATTAAGGTCAGCAGGATCTCATGTTCTTTTATGATATAATTGATAAGCTCTTTACATATTCTGTTTGTTACGTCAGTATTATGAAATGTTGTACAAGTATCTCAATATGATACACTTTTATGTTGAAGAAAGCTTCACATTTTACAAGAGAAAAATCAAATTAGCTCAAAGCCACTATACATCAGGTTCCAACAATGTAACATTTATATATTCAGTGATAAACATGTAATCTGATTCGGTTTTACACTTATAAATGAGACGTACCAATATCGTATTTCTTTTTCGTGTTACACGTAATTTTTAATTCTTTCTTTCGAAAGAAGTAGCATAATCATGACGTACGTTTGTAAACAGAATGATCACGTTTGTGAACAGAATGATCACGTTTGTAAACAGAATGATCACGTTTGTAAACAGAATGATCACGTTTGTAAACAGAATGATCACGTTTGTAAACAGAATTATCACGTTTGTGAACAGAATGATCACGTTTGTAAACAGAATGATCACGTTTGTAAACAGAATGATCACGTTTGTGAACAGAATGATCACGTTTGTGAACAGAATGATCACGTTTGTAAACAGAATGATCACGTTTGTAAACAGAATGATCACGTTTGTAAACAGAATGATCACGTTTGTAAACAGAATGATCACGTTTGTAAAAAGTATGATCACGTTTGTAAACAGAATGATCACGTTTGTAAACAGAATGATCACGTTTGTAAAAAGTATGATCACGTTTGTAAAAAGTATGATCACGTTTGTAAACAGAATGATCACGTTTGTAAACAGAATGATCACGTTTGTAAACAGAATGATCACGTTTGTAAAAAGTAAACAGAATGATCACGTTTGTAAACAGAATGATCACGTTTGTAAAAAGTATGATCACGTTTGTAAAAAGTATGATCACGTTTGTAAAAAGTATGATCATGTTTGTTAACAGAATGATCACGTTTGAACATACATTTGCTTCACTATTCTGTACTATACTTTGTGATTTTTTTTTCTTAACTTTAAAATATTGTGAGGTTATGACGCATATTGTCCCGAATGTCTTATTATCTTTCAAACCAATTGATTGTCTTATTAAAGTGTATCCCATAATTACCACCACCACTGTTGGAATATAGATTTCACATATATTAACATAAAATATTATTTATCATAAGGTCATCTTATCGTGTTAATCTGTTGAGATCAACGTTAGGTAAAAACACATGAGACCTAACGTCATGAAATCTCGATTGTGTGATATTTTTATAAATACCACAGCATAAATAACACACACGGTCAGACAAGTGAACTATGACCTCTGTCGCGGGTCAGAATGCCAAAATATACCTTACCACTTTTTCACCTTTATTTTTGTTGAAATTAAGTATTCTGTAATAAAATATGTAGTGATGATGTACGTATACTATGTGATACCATTATATAGAATGTATACTGACATCGTAATAAACGTTGATTTGTATGGCCTTCAACTATCAACTTTTTTCATTAAAGTAATATCTACATGTATATAAGTGTACATATCATTACACGATGTTAGGCTACATACTGTATATATCAACATTTCTGTATCTCTGATTACATGTATAGTACAGTTAAACCTCGTTATCTCGAACTCGTATAACTCGAAGACCCCGTTTAATTCGAAGAGTTTGGTCTGTCCCGGCCAAACTTTTCACTTAACATTCGATCTCATTTATATCCAATACTTGGATAACTCGACGTTTTTCCCGCCGACTTTGAAATAACGAAGTTCGACTGTAGTCCATAGCTTAGTGTTTTAATTTATAATACCGCTACGTGTCCCGATTTTTCACGCGTTACCTTAAAAAAGAAAAACTTGCATGTAAATGATTACTGTTAAGTTTAGGATTGATCCAAGCCCTAAAACCTGTACGACACACATCCCAAATATAATGTAAGCGGTCAAATAATTAAAGGTATTACAACAGAAACAACTTTCACGTTACTTTTAATTCAACCTTAATTGATGGAGTTGTCCATCTCGTCAGTGATTTTTTACTGATATACACATGAACCATTATATGTTGGTCTTGGTTGAAGCTGAAGATTAATCCAACTGGTTGTAAAGCAGAAAACAAACTTTAGAAGTGACATTAGAATGAATACGCAGACTTTGTCATGGACACTAAAGTACCGGGGAAAGTTGATGTGCTTATGATACCATACTTGTCGGCGAAAGTTAAATGATTAAAACGAAATAAGAAAACACGAAAGAACACGGAACAGGTGGATAATATGATCAGAGCAACATAATACAGGGCTTAAGGCCTTACAAAATAAACAGTGATGTTTTAATGTGGACATAAACTGAATTAATCAATCATGCAAATTCATGATATCCATATACTGCCCTTATAAAATGTGTTTTCTGTGGATTTTTAAACAATTCAATTTTTTTCATCTCCATTCTAGGGACCTGTGGCATGTAACGATTTTTAAATATTAGAAGCAATCTTTAATTGATCAACGAAATGTAAATTGTCATTCAATGAATTATCAAACACCACCGTCATTGATGAAAATTACGGGGAAGGTTTACAGTCGTCACAGCGATCTCATTGAGAAATATTCTAGTTCTTTCTATGAAATGAAGCTGGACATGTAGTAATGCTCGTTTGTTTGTTTGCTGCTCCGTTAGTGTATACCTTGTTCTCATTTGAGAACGTAACATTACTTAATCGTCGTTGATGAGGCAGAAGACGCTTACCCTTCCGGAACACCTTGTATTATTCTCCTTGTACTTTATTTAATCAGGTGCTATCATTTAGAAATCTTCCTTTATGTAGAGTAAAAATAAATATTTTTATACTTTGAAAGCATATTCCAAATATTAAAAAATAAAGCAAATATTTTAAATAGTACACTGATGTGATTTCAGCCATTAAATATACACAGAAATCTCACACCATCATTAAACAAGCCCTCAGACAAGCTTCTTATCATGGCGCCAAATCGCACGTGCAGCGTTCTGTACGCTTACGTCATGTCGAGAAGGATTCATAAGCCCCGCCATACAGTAAATACACTGTAAATCAAGTCATGCAGTTACAATTAACTTTGAAGATACAAGAAACCATTTTTTGCTTACTTAAGGTAAATATGGTTGTTTTCTAGGAATATTCACAGCAGGCGATAAGAGGTCGGGGATGTCCATGAGCAAATTCCGTAAAATATATTGTTCAAAATTTATCATTAGTTCAACCACACTGTGCTTCTTTTTTTAAATAAATAATAATCGTATTGTTATTAGTGGATGCTTTTAAAATTTGAAAGGTCGCGGCATTATTTACGCAGAAAATTGCCGCTAGAGGGCTCTAACTCTTTTCGATATTTCAACCAATGAGAAGGCCAGGATCGGTAAATTTTGTCTGATAGGTCGTCGCAATAGGCTATACGTACTGAGTACATTTAGCCTAAAAATTCATAACTCAAAGCTGATATGTTGTATTGTCTGACACTATCAATACGGAGGAAGGGGCGATAACTCGTGAATAGCTGTTTTAGTTTTGTTTTCACAACTTCGACAAGTTTCAGCAATGAGAATAGCATTTAATACATGATGTCCACTAAGGCAGAATTTATTGTAAACCACGTTAAATAGTCAAATATTTATGGGGAAAATCCATATCTATATCAGTATATTCCGTCATACAGAGTGAAATGAGCATATTTTGTATTGAGTGAGAAAACCATTAGTAATCGACAAATATAGCATGTTCACTCATTGTGTAAGTTCTTTGTGCCATATGTTACTGACATAACTGATGCTAATGTTAACGAGGCTTCACATCATTAAATTCTATCTGTCTAAGTATACAGGTATAAACAAGAATAAAAGTTCTGATTGTGTATTGGAATACTTTTGTATGATTAATCATATTGAATCACTCCTTATAAAGAGTTGCTGGTACATTTATGGTTTTTCTAATTTGGTTTTCAGTTTAGCTTCTTTGTGGTTTATTTTCCAAGAAATGAAGTCAGAACAACACAACTATTCCCGGCCTTACCAAACTAACACTGAATCAAACGTAAGCTAGATTCAGCTCTTTGGAAAGTGCATTGTTCAAATCTTTTGTATAAAGACTGGTTTTACAGACGCCCGCCCACCGACTCACCGACAACAGCCAAAACGCACATCCACCGACTCACCGACCACAGACCCTACGCCCGCCCACCGACTCACCGACAACAGCCCCGACGCCCGCCCACCGACTCACCGACCACAGACCCGACGCCCGCCCACAGACTCACCGACCACAAACCCGACGCCCGCCCACCGACTCACCGACAACAGCCAAGACGCCCGCCCACCGACTCACCGACCATGGGCCCGATGCCCACCCACCAACTCACCGACCACAGACCCAACACCTGCCAACAGACTTACAGACTACAAATACGACAACTACCTACCGGTCGATAGGTATCGTCTTTTTCGTCGGTAAGGCGGTCGGTAGGCGTCGTATCTGTAGCCGGTCAGTCGGTCAGTAGGCGTCGAGTCCGTAGTCGGCCAGTCGGTCGGTAGGCGTCGAGTCCGTAGTCGGTCAGTCGGTCGGTAGACGTCGAGTCCGTAGTCGGTCAGTCGGTCGGTAGGCGTCGAGTCCGTGGTCGGTCAGTCGGTCGGTAGGCGTCGAGTCCGTGGTCGGTCAGTCGGTTGGTAGGCGTCGAGTCCGTAGTCGGTCAGTCGGCGTCGAATCCGTCGTCTGTTCGTTTGTCGGATTGCGGCGTGTAATTCGTCTGTACGTATGCAAACACCTACTGACCAATGATACATAGGTCGGGAGGTGTTATGTCACTCGTCGGTACCTAGGTTAGACACCTACTGACCAATGGTACGTAGGTCGGCTGGTGTCGTGTCAGTCGTTGGTACGTAGGTCTGACACCTACTAACCAATGGTAGGTAGGTATGCAGATGTCGTGTCAGTCGTCAGTACGTAGGTCAGACACCTACAGACCAAGGGTACGATAGGTGTCTCGTCGGTAAGTCTGTCGGTAGGTGTCGTGTCAGTTCTCTTTATGTAGGTCTGTAGGTGTCGTGAGTTTTCGGTACGTAGGTCGGTAGGTGTCGTGTCTGTCGCCGGTACGTAGGTCCGTAGGTGTCGTGTCTGTCGTCGGTAAGTCAGTCGGTAGGTGTCGCGTCTGTCGTCGGTAAGTCGGTCGGTAGGTGTCGTGTCAGTCCTCTGTATGTAGGTCTGTAAGTGTCGTGTCAGTTTTAGGAACATAGGTCGGTTGGTGTCATTTCAGTCTTCAAAGTGTTATGGTCATCAGTATAACGTTGATGATAGTTTTGTCGTAGGATATTACTTGTTTTACCTTAATAAACAATGGCTGTCCTAGTCTTTCAAATAAATGATGGTTAGACTAAATGATAGAACAGAAATGTTAGTCAAGTGGAAATGGATGTTGGGTGCATGCTGCATACTTACGGTAGTCTGTCTTGTGTCTGGCACTTGAAAAATTAACGCGTTTTGAATCAACATAACATACACACATTTCCATTCTTTTATTTCAAAACAACAAGGAAAATCGATTAAAATCAAAGCAATTGACAATATATACTTACAATGATACTGATTTTTTGGCAATCTTCTCTTTTTCTCTTCATTTTGATGAAAAAAGAATGGGCAGGGGTGGGGCTGGGGAAAAGTGATATTGTCAAAATAAAGATCCAACAAGAATGAAATATGTACATCTTCAGGCATTTTTACAATAAATAAAATGGGTAATTCTATATTTATTTAATGGATCAGAGGTCAATGATAATGCATTAATGAAAATTCTAAAACAAATTGTAGTTA